GCAAACTTTTTATGGCCATGTAAGGTTAGTGGTAGTTATTGTTTAGATTTAAATAGTTACTAAGATTATTAAAACTATTTAATAAAATTCAGACACAAAATCATTTAACAAAGTTAAACATGGCATATAAACATAATTGACTAGGAGTTAGGCAATCTCCTCCATAAAATATTATTTGTTTTATTTATTAAGTTAAGGGATTACCCTTTTACAGTTAAGGACATACATTTTAACATTGGCTATTACAACTAAATTCTCCACATGTATACGTAACGAAGTTCGCTTCTAGTCGCCTTCGAAATGTTAAAAGTATATTTTTATTTTGAGCGTTTGGACCCTGTCATATTTTCAACCAACATTGTCACTATGTCATAAAAATTGAAAAACTTTAGAGCGTTTAGAGTGTTTATTAGTAAAATCTCAAAGTTCCTTGAATACTTTTACCAATCTCATTTTTATAATACACTAGTTTATTATTTTAACAAAATTCTCAGTGTAGATGGGTTTATGATAAAAAGCTATTGTATTATTAAAACTAGAAATCGTCCAGTGGTCGGAAATTGACCAAAAATATGTACTGTAGAGACTTTTCTGTTTTCCCCCCACTGTAAATAAAACATGTGATTGGAATTTCTTCCATTTGTTTTGATTTTCTGTTTATATTTCGTTGTTATTTCGTCACCAGCATGGAAACCCATAATGGCAATGTTAATGGTTTTTTACATTTTAAATTAATTTGTTGTGTTTATTTTTTGTGCCTATTTTAAGTTATAAAAGGATTCTGCTCATCTACAGAAAGATATCTTTCTAACAGTATGCGTATATTTTCCCTACGGTGTACACGAGCTGAAAAAAGGTTTAAAGAAACATGCATGCCCATTAATATTATTAATAGATACTTTGAAATCCATGATACCACCAAACATATACAAATCTTATAAAAGTGCCAACTATGTGTCTATTTATAATTTCAAAAATTATATCAAGTTTTGTGTTTGTGTTTCTATAAAAGTTAGCAAATCAAAGAGACGTCACTACAAACAACGATACGTTTAGCTGAAGGTTTCAAGGTTCTAAGCTGAATGAGAAATTTGACTGTCGAGCATCGTAGGATTAGCTCTCATATTACAAATGAGATTATCATTTGAGCACGTGACAAGCCACAGCTAACAATTGATAATATAATAGATAAGAGAGACATTACCTACTATACTACGTTCACAATATTTAGGCGTTCCCCCACCACCATTTTGAATTGAATGTTTGTTGCTTAAATCAGCTGTTGAGCTATCATTTTAAAGGTAAGGGTCAAGTGAAGGTAGTATTCTTCCCCTAAAACCACCTAAATATTGAGAACGAAGTTAGTCCGTCTTTAATGTTTTACTGCTACAATGACCAAAGTGATTCTACACATGTACCATAAAGCTTCTTAAGACTAAAATCATATACTCCTTTTACAAATCCGTTTTTATCTAAGTAGCCGAGGGGTTATAGTGTAAGCCTTCGAATATGAAGTCCACTGGTTCTATTACAATCTAATACAAAAATAAAAATAAAAAAATAATTGGCACTGGTGCATATATACATAAAAAAACAACACATTCAATATTACTTAACAATGTAAACATATTTCTATTCTCTACGAAGTAGATTATTTTCTTAGAGTAAAAACGATAATACCATTAGATACTTAATAGTTCTAGAATGTGAAAAGTTCAAACGTAAATTGACAAATCAAAGAGATGTCGCGACAAATAACAATGTTTTCTGTCAAAGCTCAGAGTTCAAAGGAACATATCACATGTCACATGCGACTGTGTATGACGACGTAGGATTATCTTTCATGTTGTCAATGACAAAAGCATTCACTTCAAACAGATCAAGCTATATAGTTATTCAAGCCCTTTCAAGTAGACTTATCCGTAACTAATATCAAGTAGAGGATTGAAATAACGAATGACAGTTGAAGGAAAACACGTTTGATACAATCAATTGAACATCAACAATTGGCTAATAAAGTTTGTAGGAGTAAAGTAGGATGTATCCTCCCTTAGTAGGATTATGTGTCAATACAACCGGAAATATCTGACAAATTTCTTTAAGCTAAAAAATATTGAATCCCCAAGTTGGCATGTTGTTCTTAGCTTACAACCATTAGTGGAAAATATTTAAAAAAAATTTAAAAGAGGACTTGGGTGCAAAAACGTCCTCATTCAAAAAAGTTAGTTTTGAATAAAACTTAAACGAAATAATAAGTTATTTACCCTTAAAAAATAAATCTTACTATATCAAAAATAAAAACTAAGTAATGGAGAAAATATCTTTAAGATTTTCATTTTATTTATTAAATATCTATACATTTGTTTTGATAAATGTAGTAATAGAAATATGTTATTGACATCAGAGGTCGTTTTCGCATAAAACCTTCTGAAAATAAATTTAACTGGAATATTTGGTATGGTTTAAAACAAAAAACACATTTTTACTTTTACTTATTACTACACTATGCTAGAAAACCCAAAATTATTATGATAAATAGAAGACTGATCAAGATTGTTATGTTCATTTAGGCTCTTCATTATACTACTTATTGTTCCCGGAAAATTTGTAAGTGACGATAGCTTCGTAAACAGATTTATCTTATTCAACTTCTGGGTATTCAGTAGCCTTTCCATCCTTTTGTTTTGTGTTTTACAACTCCTCGTGCCATTTGCATAATAATAGTACACATAATAATGCTCATTATAGTACAGACATCTGGCCATCTCACAACAGCTGAGTTGAAAGGCAGCCAACGTAGCGGCAAAAACAATCCATAACTAAGTCATTTTCAAAGACATTTAAACCAAACAAACACTAAAGCCAAGGCGGTTGAAATAGAGCATTTTATGCAAAAACGTTTAGAGACGGCTCGGATCATGTTTGCACCCTACTCCTCGCAAGAGATAGTCAGTTTATTTAAATAAATATACAAATTTAATACCTATACAGCTGTGAACTCGTGTTAGTATCGTTAAATCGTTTATAATAGCCTACTTAAAATAGTGTCAACTCCTTGCCACAGTTCATAAATTGTATTGTCACTGAAAAGTGTAATTGAAATAGAGGTAACTTAAAAATTGGCTTGAACAAATAAATTTAATAATAACTTCCGTTTTTTTACATATTCTGAAAAACTAAAAAAATACACAATCAACGAACCCCGTACTTAATTTTACTTAAATTGATGCTTTAAAAATACCTGAGTCACCGCAAACCTGCAACCTAAGCCAATTTATATATGTCTTATTCTATTTTTAACACATTATTGAATTCAACTTGTCAGACTAATTATCTATTTAAATTACATTTAATTTAACGAGTTCATAGGTTTGCTAGATATTAAAAAATGTTGAGTTTTGTTGATATTGATTTTGAGTTTTGTCTTCTAAGTATATATTATTTTGATATTAGTATGGTATAGTAAGTATAATATTATGAAGACGGGCTATTGATACGCCACTAAATCTAAGTTGGCACATATCAGTGTAGTTATAAAATAATGCAACAATAAGTTTTTTAATCCAACTCATTGAGATTTGCAAACCACTAAACCACGATCCTTAAAAGTACCTACACTGGCCCCATAGGTGTAATAACTTGCACTTTACTGTGGCATAACATTAGCTCATGTGAGCAGTTTGATACTCTTCATCATCATCTCATGTAATATTCACACACAATCAGGGGCAAGCTCATGCTGCGTTATGAGATGCGCTTGGCTAAACTTACATTACATTTTGTCTGGGAACATTTTATCCTGTAAATAATTACCTTGGAAATAAATTATATGGACGTGAGTATGGAAAAAGTAGATACATTTTCTGTTTAAGTTTGGTATGTAGCTGATTTCTACTAACCATTGAACAAAATTTAGACATAGTTATAAATAATTATAGTGAAATACATCTACCTGTACTTTCCCATGATTTTGAGGTTATTATACTTTATAAACAGGTAAAACCTAAAACATGTTTGAAAACTATTTTACATGAGTAATCGTTTTCGTCAACATAATTTTATTTAGCTAATAGCTTTAAAATAAGGTACACTTTTAAAATATAAGTTTTAGATTATTGTTATCCAAAGTTAGCTCCAGACACGCCTTTTGAGACTTTAGCGGCTTTTTGCAAACTATAATTCGTATAACCAATTGTTTACTGTAATAAATAAAAATAATAACAACATTAAATCACGTTATACTTCTACTGTTGCTTGAGCACAATATCATTTTACGGGTATAGTAGCCGCTACATCCGTACTTCTCTGTAGGAGAATCCTCTTCGCCCGCTGAAGAGGACGATGTTGTTCTTTTGATCTTCCGTTTAAAATAGTTACTGAACCATTATTGATTAAGAACCAAAACTTAATTGAACACTTAGTTAGTAAAATTAAATTTTAATTGAACACTCAGTTAGTAAAATTATATTTTTATTGAATTTCAAAATGAAAATAGGCTTGTGTCTATCTGGCGTATTGGCTATATTCTTGCAACATTTCAGTAACATTGGTCCAGTAGTTTTAACTCGCTTGACCATTAGAAAAGTTCACAAGCATCCATAATTTTCTAATTTTAATATTTGAAGGAAACTCTTGATTAATAACTTTCATATTTTGTATACAAAAATCATCATGAGATCACCCTTTAAAATGCTTGACGTAAACAATTTTAATGTAAATGTATGCCAATACAACGGTCAAAAATTACTACAAAACCTTAATTGCTAACTGTGACGTTAACTTTGATATACCCTACGTTTGACCAATTATTTGCTTGGTTTGTGAATGAGTGAGTAACTAGATTACGAAACCGATTATTTATTACATAGAAAAGTAATAGTATAATTAATAATATATGGTCTAAATTTGTACTGTGTATATTTAAATCGTCACCAGTTTGTAATAGATTTTTCACACGTTACAGTGGTCAGTTATTGATTAAATCTTAAGATAGCGTAGCAACGATATGTTTAGATTGTCAGCGTTGATTGTTTGTTTGAAGCTTGTCAATACAGAGTGTCCGGTTGAAACTATAGAACGCATCAGGGACTTTTGGGGAGACGAGCCTCCAAAAAATGTACTCAAGAGTGTAAGTCCCTTGCAGCTGTAATATGTTAAATTATCTCTTTAATTAAACTTGTAAATCAACTTGTATTGTATTGATGGGTAGTTTTACTAACAACAATATTACAGTACCATTATCCTCAGGCTCGATATAATTGTTGTAACCCATCATATCCAAGGTTGCTACAGTTTTTAAAACATGTTCAGCAAATTACAGATGATTATGTTTATTTAAGACCAAATAATTCGTAAAATAATTTATCTTCGATTAAATTTACTGTTGTCAGTTCTCTAAAAATTCTACTGCAATATTTTTTGTTCCGAGTCCAATTTTTAAGTGTGGTACTGTACCAATTATCAAGACTGAACATTCAAAAACCATGTGATGTTAAACAGAAATATCAGCTTATATCTTAAAAAAATGTTTTTTGTAAACACACTCTATTATAGAAGCTTAAGTGAACAAGTTTTTTCACAAACAATAAATTTTTGTGTTATTAATCTTGAATTACACTCATAGTTTTTCAACTATAGAGTTAAAACCACCCTAAATCTTTCTACAGAAAGAAATTTATAATAGAACACTAAGAGTTTAAAATGAAATCGAACCAAAGCATTTTAAATTTACCTTAACTATATACCTAAATGGGGTTGCTTCTTTGATTATTTCAAACATATGTTGTGTTCATGTATAGAATGTGGGGATGGTGACATATGTTTGGATGAGTGGGGGATTCATAAAAGACAAACTGAATGACGATCTTTACTGTTTTGCAACGAATTTGGACAGAGACGAAACATCATCTACAGATATACTGATGTTTACTAACAGGTTAGTTTTTAATGCATTATTTGACTGCATGACGCAGGTCACTTATACCTAAAACATTTTGAGGATTTCTAACCTAAAAACGTGTTGTGTAGTGTTTGAAAGACTAATTATTTATATGATTTAGAATAACTTTAGGTTTTATATAACATGCAATGCGAGTGCAAAGTGCCACTTTCGCACCCTAGTTACACAAATAACTATTGTATTAAACGAAGTGAAATCATTCCTCATAATTTATAAGTGATACACTAATCTGTTATAATTTCTAGGTCAGCGGAAGAAGTAAGCTATTTCCAAACAGAGGATAATGGTGTGATTACATTATATTGTAAGTAATCCCTTACTTTAATCATACTACCTCATGATACACACATAATTATTTTGTACTTTTGTCAATTAGATAACAATTAATTATTAGACTTGTCTAGCTATCTTTTAATTTTATTTTATGGTCTGTACATATTGTCCTCATACTATCCTGGTTTTAAAGGTTTGAAGTTAAAATTAATCTTTAAATGCAAACATTTTCCAGCCCATGGGGAGGCGGATGACACACAGTACATTATATCACAGAAGAATAACGTCACGGCGTTCTGGCAATGCAAGGTATCCAACATAGGTGTGTACTCAAACTTGTACAATTTTACACAAATGTTTAATCTACTAATTTACAATTCCTCTTCATTACATATGATTGAATCATGAACACGTTTGAAACGGAAGAAAGTATTTAGACACTTTGCCGTCATTTTATTTCTTTGGAAAATCATCATGACGGGTGTGAAAAACTATACATTTTCGCATGAGGTTAGTTTAAATAGCTTGCTTTTGAACGCCAGTGGAATTTTGAAAAAAGTAACTCAAACGGTCTTAAGGAAAGCGGCACTAACCACTCGTATTTTGTGGTTGTGCCATGGACTAAACCTGCCCTTCCTGTATTGTCAGAGACACTAACCTACACACCTATGGTCTTATTATATAAAACAATATAAACAATACCAATTAGGTAACTATAACTATGACTAGGTCTTTAGTTGATCTTTCAATTTGATTAATTTATTTCCACAGTAACACCAGGTACAATAAGGATATATTGAACTAAAATGTTGTAACAAATGTTTGTACAGCTTTAGAATGACAATATCAATAATGAGAACAAACAATCCAATAATGAAAGTATGACAACAAGAACAACAACAATACCAATAAGTTTGGTGAATACCTTGCTAACATATATACACAGCTGAAAATTACAATATAAATTCTTTATTGGGTGTTGTTTGACTATTGATAAAACTAGACATTCCATCCTGATGTAAAAGTTGTAGCCATTTTTTTTTTCAAAATTGTTGCAGTTGATGTGTGTCACAGACTGATTGTGCTGATCTAAATTACAGATTCCTGTCGAATACACGGACTTTCCAATAGTCAATGGTACAACTTAGTGTCTTCAGTGCATATTAAATACACCTCTGTCCTGAGTTCTTTACTGATAACTACATTTCCAGACAAGTACGAGCCTTACGTCGGCATATCTGTGAAAGTTTCCGATCTACACTCACATACCGCTGAGGAAGCTGTCATTGAAGCCATTGACACATTGGCTAATCTAGGCTTCAAAACTGGAACTGCTCTGCCCCCCTGTCAAAGGGAAGACTTCAAAATATTTTTGTAACATGTTATAGTATATTTCGTACCTAGGGCCGAAAATTTGGTTTTGCCTCTCGAGATAGTTTTTAAGTTCTCGACTTCGAGAGCTGCAAAAGCATTTCGGTCCGTGGTACGAACGCTATTTTTCACCACACTATACCCTATTACCACTATTCACCACAATAATAATGTACAATGATAGTCAACACAACTACAACTTTAAGGTTATATGAAGAAATAGTTTGAGGAATCAGAAAAATGATAATAAATAGTTGCTAGGCAGCGGTGACAATAAAACAATTCTATTGCAATGCTATGGATACTAATTGTGTATTTAATATGCATTCATGTTTTACGAAAGTAATCGGGCAGCTGATTTTGCGACCCTAGGGATGTAAAAACCTGCTCGGTTCCCAAATAACGATGACAGCTGGCATGGCCAGCAAAACGTAACTTTCAGCCACCAATTGACGTATGTTAAACAGCTAAAAACATCATAGTGTGGTAAAAACAATATAATTTAATCATCAAAACAAACATTTTTGGTAGGAATAGAAAAGAACACTTGCAAATTTTCAATAAATTAGTTATTTTATAGTCATACTGTATAACGAATTTCGTGTACAGTATTTGCATTGTTATGAGTAAAATACAGCGAATTTCTTTATAGCATATTTATTTTAGTATATTAATTCCAAATTTTACTTTAAAATGCATTTAAAGTAAGTTGGATTATAGTTGCAGTTGCAATGGATTATGTTTTGTATACCAACTTTCTCTTTCAACTAATAAAATGTTTTTATTTAAAGTCTGCATATGTTCATCACATACAATGATATATTTAATGTACAATAATTTAAAACACGCGTTGAAATTAATGACAGCTAAATAGTTCTATGATGTTTGTGGTTAAATAATAATAATGTTCGATTAGCAGATCGTACGCCACAAAACATCACATACCATTGATTTCATTTAATTAAAAAGTCAGTAATATACAAATTAATCGTTCAAGTGGTAACGATTGACCAATATTCAATATGTAATAGTATTAACAGAGTTTAATAACTATCAAATAAATAAATCTTGTGCATGCTACTCAATATGCGGTCAAGCCTACCATAAAATATTTTAAATTTACGATTGGGACAAAATATTTTTAATAAATAATCACATCAAATATTTATCTTTAATGTCCAACCAAGAAAAAAGTGACGATAAAATCCATCATTTGAGAATCTATTCAAGCCACAGGGTAGGTTTACTCTTGTGTAGTTAGATAAACTAACCTAACTTTAGGGGCTGAAACTTAGTCAAGGGACTAAGGTTTAATCCTTGAAGGTTACTAGTTCACAAGGATTCAACATAATATATGTGATGCAGTGATGTATTCCAGTATAAATGTATTTTTTGTATTAATGACACAATATATTGACTGCCTCATAGCACAACCTTCCAGTGAATACGTCCTATATAATTTATCTAATACATATTTAAGATTATATTTAGTAATTTCTGCAAAAAGCAATAATGAAAAACGAAATATAGTATTTGAAATATTGAACAAGGAGTGATATTTAAAAATTACAATGTGTAATTTGATATTACTTGCAATATCAAACTAAAACTTGTCAAGGTTTTTATTAAAACCACAAATTGTCAGCAAAATTATTTTAACCGCTAACTTGGAGTTTTTTCCACTAAATTTTCCTATTGGGAGTAGTCTACTTTTACTTAATTTGTCACGTAAATAAAGGTTAAGCATATATTTCATGTTGAAGATAAACTTATTTTGGTTTAAAGTCATAGTTAAACGTTTCTTATTGATCCTATTGAGTACTTAGCCAAGTAAGCATTCAATAACTATTCTCAGGTATTTCTCATGCGTAGTAATTGTAACAATGTGTATGGAAGAAAAGAAATACATTGGAAACAACTATAGATCATCTTGGCCCGTAGAAAATAAAGTTCTCCCAGAAATACTTAACGGTAACATATAAATCAAACAAATTCGATGGATTAAATTATAATATATAATATATTTACAAATGTTGCATGCCTGTTTATGAACAGTTTGATTTGATTACTTAAGTTATATGACCACAATTAGATTGTACCAATCATACAATAAACGCTCTATATTATAATTTTCAAACCAGATGAAAAATATATCAAAAATTAAAGAGGAAGAAGAAAAGTTCAATTCCACGAAAGGCAACGAGGTGCTGAGTTAAACACGCTAGAGAAAAATTCTGTCTCATTTTTCTTGTCATTACTATAAAATCATATTTCCATATTTTGTACTTCCGAATTTAAAGGTAAAATACCATACTCAACCTATCCTTTCATCCTTTTACCCTGATTGGCTATTTCTATTCCAAACACTCTGGCGACATCAAACTCTCCAAACAGTTGCCGCACATAAGCTTGCTAGTCACGTGATAGGCTTATGGCGTCACCATCGATCTGGCGGGATTGATCTTGCTTTTGGAGGGAATATTTTACCTCTTGAACATGCAGATATATTAAATTTTGCCAGTTATTTTGTTTGGACTTCTTGAAGTGTTAATTTTTTTTGGATTATTCATATTTTATGAAAAGTGTTGTTGATTTGTGTATTTTTTCAATGGCCCAAACACTGCGTGTGCGTAATTATTTTACTGACCTCATTTTTTGCCACGATTAGTTTAAACCAAATGACTAGTCCTTAGTAACTCACTACATAACCATTCAACTATAACATTTAAAAGCATGGCCTCTAATTTATGTGTATTATGATCCCTTAATAATAAAAAATATACACTGTATAGAAAATATGTCTATACTTTCTTCTTAATACTTTTTTTCTTTACTTTTGATGGTCGTACATCAAAAGTACAGGCTTTCACAATATTTATGAGAAAACAAATTTTCAAAGGTCTGTTTTCTGAAACCTAGTAACAAATAATTACAACAAAACTGTATCAATAAACAATAATAAGAAATACGCCTGACAATCATTGCTGAATATGGGGAGATACTTAGCATCCATACAAAAAAGGTCAGATGAAAATATTAAACGTAAGTATTTGGTATTGGAACAGAACGTTCTAGTAACAATGTTTTTTATTTATTTAATTAGACATGGCGATGAAAAATCACAATATATTCAAGAAATGGTACGAAGGTAAAGGAACGTTGACAGAAAAAAACTAAAACACGTACGAAACTTGTGTTCTTTCCGTGTTTACGTTATCTTTGACGAGGCCCCTTTGACGGAACTTCACACCGCCCCTCTTGATATCACCATTCTGATGAAACATGTTGATGTTCTAACCTCTACTTGAAGTCATGAACTTTTTAGAGTAGATCGACGATTAATGAGTATCCAATCAAAATTCACTCTCAGATCTTGACTAAACCACAAGTTTCATTAAGTAAAATAGGACAAAGACTACGATCAAATTGGAATACATTTCTGAGAAAAGGGGTCATAGTACTAAGCTTATACTTCTAGATCAGTTGTTTGCATGAAGCCAAATCAGTTTCGATTCTTTATATTAGTTTGAACTTATTTTTAGGTATATTGCGATTTACCCATAATAGTATATTTCGTATCTAGGGCCAAAACCATTTCGGTCCGTGGTACGACCGCTATTTTTCACCACACTATACACTATTACCACTATTCACCACAATAATAATGCACACTTATCAACAGAACTACAACTTGTAACAATTCAATATTTTCACCAATATTTTTTTTAATAGAATAATTTAATTTCCACCATATGTTTTTCATTTTATGTAAATTTCAATCCCTTTTCAAACCATATATAGTAATTAATTGACCAAACAGACCAATAGGTAATCAATTTAATACAATATAAGATAGCAATTTTCAAATAACCTAATTTTATGTAAATATATAATAGCCTATAACTTTTGTAACAAAGTTGCTTCAAATTCTATATAATTTTATTTAAATAACTTTTCAAAATTATAATTTAGCTCTCTAGCAAATGAAATTTGTTATAATATATATGTGTAAACAGTGGCCTATAATTTTATATTATTAAGTCGGCATTGACATATGTGAGTGCAACAATACATCAGACCATCATCACTTCCAATAGAGCCAAGATAGTATGAAGATGCAAATTAGACACTACATATTTAATATTAAAATTTTATAAAAAAAAGTACATTATTCGGACAAAATTAGTGAAATTTGTTGAAAGAAGAACCATCCTTGTGACGAACATTCATAATTTATAACATCAAAAACTTTACTTCAAAGAAGACATCAATTTTGGTGAGATTACTCCAATAGACATTTTCCCCTTTGGAAGCCATTACAACTTTTTTTAGGCCCAACCTTTGGACATTTGTACTCAAATTCAAAGTCAAGAACTAATAGAAGCTTAACTTATTCAAAATTATTATTAATTCAACCAATCTATAATTCGAACATATTTTATATTTTAAAACAAAATTTAATTAGGCTTATATCACAAGATTAAATTCAAATGCCGCTCGATCACCCCACCTGAGATTAAGATCCTTACAGTAAATTATAACATTGAACTTAAATAATTAAAACCATTGTAATAGGCCTAGCCTAAAGTTTTTAAAGTAAATTCATCTCCCACTGTTTGTACAATTTATTGTGAACCCCCTTTTCTTTTCTTTCACTATCAGTTTTGTATTATAATTAATAAATTTAAGTTTCGAATTTGTACATGGAGTTTCCATTGTAGACCTAAGTTAAAGGTTGATTACAAACTTTAAGGTTCTGTGAAAAAATTATTTGAGGAATCATAAAAAATAATAATAAATCGTTTCTAGACAGCGGTGGCAAAAAAAAAAACAAAAAAAAAACTGTTGCAATTGCTATGGATACTGATTGTGTATTTAATATGCATTCATGTTTTAAGAAAGTAAGCGGGCAGCTGATTTTGCGGCCCTAGGGAATGTAAAAACCTGTTTGGTCCTCAAATGACGATGACAACTACTGGCATGGCCAGCAAAACGTAACTTTTAGCA